GGTTAACCTTAAAAAGCAGACAAACTTGGCTAAAAAGGAAGCAGCCTTTTCTGTCCAGCCAAGAATTTGTCTTAGAAAGAAAATTTATTTTATAGGTGGATGGAAACTATCAGAGGAGTATAGTTTAAAAAGTGTCGAATGTTTTGATATCTTTAGGCAGAAATGGCAGAAAGTTTGCCCTATGAAAATTGTGAGAAGTTCACCAGGAATAGCAGTCTTACATGGGAAAATTTTCGTTGTTGGAGGGAGTGGAGAGGACAGTCAGATTTGGGCAGATGGCGAAGTTTATGATCCACAGGAAGATTATTGGACTGGAATATCTTCTATGGTGATCCCACGGTCTGATTTTGGATTATGCGCTCATGGAGGTTTTCTCTATGCCTTCGGTGGTTGGACGGGATTGGTCATCGAAAAAAGTATTGAAAGATATGACCCTATTGCAGATGAGTGGACATTATTAGAGTCAAATATGCCAGAAGGTAGATCCAAGTAAGTACAATAACAATTTTCAAATTGGATTTACTGACTGATAGTGTGAACTACTGATAATAATGGGAAAATATAAGTGCCTATACTTTTTTTTTTTTTTTTACAGAATGGGTATCACTCCCTAAGGAACGGTCTAATGATGCTTTAGTAGTCTCAATTTGACTCGAAACCTTGAGTCTATCCCTCCTCCTAATCACAGCCTATTAACATAAAATGTACCGGGAACTTGATATATTAATGCTAGAGCAGTCTCAATTTACTCTCTTCTCTCCCAAGCTGACAACTGGTTAGGTTAGTCTTACATTAGTATATGAAGATGGCGGCTGCACGTGTGGAGGAGCTCTCTCATCACGAGGAGGAGGAGGAGGAGGAGGAGGAGGAATGTAAATCTTATCCTAACTACCTACTAGACGATATACATTTCCTCTGGCAGTCAGAAAAGTTATGTGATGTAGAAATATTATTAGCTGATGGATCAGTTGTGAAGGTGAGTGAGTGAAACATTTATCTGTGAGTGAAGAAACATTTCTCTGCCTGCCCTCCATCACCCACCCATCATTTACACACCATATCGGGGGAAGGAAACTTAACTACACCGCCCACACTCACCCTCCATTCCTTATTACCGCCCAGGAGAAGTCAGTGGAACATGATTAACAAAGTCTATCCAGTGCAGTGGAAGAAATTTCCCTGCTCTCCCCTAACTTCCTTTCTCCCCCGACACACATAAAGAGCTGTTTATCCAACTTTCTTCTCACGATAGAATCAATGTTTCCTAGCAGTACTTTGATTTGGGCTTGCTTCCTAGCAGTGGTTTAATTTTGGTTTGCTTCCAGGTAATGGTTTGATTTTGTTGTCCGTCCGTCCATAATTCTCTCACTTTTATGTAACTTCACAAAACCTATGCTATGACAACGACTCTTCACCCAGATTTTTACGTCCCCTTAATGTATGTATAAAGGCAGTATGAACGAACTAACAAATTTTAAAAAATAAACGATGGGGATTACATTTTATTCCACAGGCTCACCGTGTAATACTGTCAGCGGGAAGCGACTATTTTAAGACCATGTTTACGTGTGGATTTGCTGAGAAAACAACACAATCAATAGAAATGAAGTCTATGAAACCCAATATATTAAAACTGCTTATCGACTTCATATATACTGGTAAGGGAAAATATTTTAAGTTTTCATAGTGTTAAGCTGCTATCTATAAGTAAAATTTTTATTTTGTTGCAAATGAAGAAATGAAATATTTTTTTTTTCTTTTTTTGTAAAAATACTTTAGGAAACATCGAGATAACAGTGGGAAACGCACAGGAGTTAATTGTGGCTGCGAACATGCTGTTCATGCCCCATGCTGTATTTGTTTGTACAGACTTTCTCAAGAGCGAACTTGATCCATCCAATGTTTTGGGAATTTACAGGTAACGAATTTTTATTTTGTTTCTGTTCTGTTTTAATTTGATTGATTCTGATTCGATCTAATCCTATTCTAGAGAGGATATTTTTTTATTTTTTTTATTTTTTTTTTTTTTACAGGTTTGCTCAGGCCCATTATTTAGTAAGCTTGTTGAATGGTTCGCGGGATTTCATCTTCTCCAATTTCGTAGAAGTGACAATGGAGCAAGAGTTTCTTGAGATTCCTAAAGAAACTCTACTATATTTTTTGGATTCTGAGTATCTTCATATTGACTCTGAGTTTCAGGTAAATATTATATATTTTTCTTTTTATTTAATATTTATTTATTGAAAATTTTATTTATTTTTTCTTTTTTTATTGCAGCTCTCACTTTCTTTTTCTTTTCTTTTGTTATATTGCAGGTATTCTCTGCTGCCATCAGATGGATTACACAAGAAATAACTGATAGACTTTGTTGGATTCTCGATATTTTAAAACGAGTGAAATTGTCTTTAATTTCAAGTAAACTAATAGAAAAAGCAATTAATGAGTGCTCTGACATCAGATTGAAAGTTAACCTTAAACAGCAGATAAACTTGGCTAAAGAGGAAGCCTCCTTTTATGTCCAGCCAAGAATTTGTAATCGAAAGAAAATTTATGTCATAGGTGGATCAAGGAAAGAATTCAATATAATATGGAATAGATCAGAGGAATATCTACTTAAAAGTATCGAATGTTTTGATACCTTTAGGCAGAAATGGCAAAAAGTTTGTCCTATGAAAATTGGGAGAATTTCACCAGGAATAGAAGTCTTACATGGAAAAATTTTCGTGGTTGGAGGGGTTGGAGAGATAGACGCTCAGATTTTGGCGGATGGCGAAGTTTATGATCCACAGGAAGATTATTGGACTGGAATATCTTCTATGGTAATCCCACGGTGTGATTTTGGATTATGCGCTTATGGTGGTTATCTCTATGCCTTCGGTGGTTGGACGGATTCAATGGAAATAGGAAAAAATATTGAAAGATATAACCCTATTACAGATGAGTGGAGATTATTAGAGTCAAATATGCCAGAAGCTAGATCCAAGTAAGTACAATAACCAGTACAATAACAATTTTGATTTACTGATAGTGTGAATTACTAATAATAATAATGAGAAAATGTCGCAGTAACCTGTACTGTTTTTTCCTTTTTTTTTCTTTTTATAGCATGGGTATAGTAGAACATCGAGGTCTTATTTACATTATTGGTGGATATACGGACACTTACAATCCCCTGCATGATTTTCTCTCATACAATCCTGTAACTGGAGAGTGGAAGAATCTAACATCAATGCAAGGTCCACCGTCTAAGACGATAGGCGTTGCAGTTTTAGATAATTTTTTGTACGTAGTAAGTGATGGTATTCTGGATGAAAATTCAATGAAAAGATATTCTTTTGAGCAGGTAAGATTATTTACCAGTACTTAAAGTTTAATATTGTAACCAGGAAGTGGAAGAATTGTTGTAATACTTTAGGAACAAAGGGAAAAAATTGTATACCCCCCTCCCGCCCCCTTACTCTTGTTTTAACCTTTTTCTTTTACTTTCCCACAGAACCAATGGTTTAAGTGTTCGTCTTCAGAGTATTTGGGTCGAAGTAGCCCAGCAGTTGTTGTCACAAATTCTCTGTTATATGTCATAGGCGGTTACTGGAGTGGTTTGAATGGAATTGGAATGGTAAGGAAAGAAGAATAAAAGAATGATTAATATAAAATGATAAATATTGATAATAATATTTATAACTTTTTTTTTTCTTTTTAGATTTCTCTCGCTAATGTGGAGTATTTCGACCCTAAGAATAACAAGTGGATAAGCTGTACACCACTCCCTGAAAGTCGGACTAATGCTATAGCAGTCTTAATTTGACTACTCGAAACTTTGAAAACCTATATACTGATTTCCTCCTCCTCCTCCTCCTTCATTCTCACTCATTCTTATTTTAGTAAATAAAAAGCAAATAAATAAATGTATAGTTTTTTACTACCCTATATGATATAAAATTGTATTATTCTTTGTAAACTCTACCCAACCTATCCCAACATACTGCCAACTACCTGCTAGGTCACATTGCAAATTAGCCAATCGAGAAAACAAAAATAATAGAGGGTTGTATTATTCTTTGTAAACTCTACCCAACCTATCTCCCAACCTATCTCAACATACTGCCAACTACCTGCTAGGTCACATTGCAAATTAGCCAATCGAGAAAACAAAAATACTCAGTTTTTCACATATATTTGCGGTTTTGTATTCTTGTAAACTCTCCCAACATACTGCCAACTACCTGCTAGGTCACATTGCAAATTAGCCAATCGAGAAAACAAAAATATTCAGTTTTTCACATATATAGGTTTTGCAGTATGTGATAAAAAAACAATGAATAAAATAATTTTAATAGTGTTTATTTGGGTTCGGTTAAAATAATAACAATGTGATTAAATCTTTTCCATTCCATACATTAAAGGAAATTTGAACATTTCATCCGGAATACTTTATTTTTTCATAAAGATCTGCATTCCTCTATGACGCAACAATAACAAAGGGGGGAATGTGATATCGTGTGAAGATTCTAATTCTAGGATAATGGTCTCTCCTGTAAGGGTAAGGGTTTTCACAAAGATGTTGTTTTCTTTTCCTTCTCTAATAAGTTGCAGTGTAGATTCCTTCTGGATATTGCAGTCGGAAAGAATGCGACAATCCTCCAACTGCTTACCAGCAAAGATCAATTTCTGCTGGTTTGGGGGGGTGCCTTCCCTATCCTGAATTTTGGCCTTTACATTTTCAATGGTGTCTGAAGGTTCTACTTCTAGGGTAATCTTTCCTGTAAATTTCACAAAGATCTGCATTCCTCCTCTAAGACGCAATACCAAATGGAGTGTAGATTCCTTCTGGATATTGTAGTCAGAAAGAATGCGACAATCCTCCAACTGCTTACCAGCAAAGATCAATCTCTGCTGGTCTGGGGGGATGCCTTCCTTATCCTGAATTTTTGCCTTTACATTTTCAATGGTGTCTGAAGGTTCTACTTCAAGAGTAATAGTCTTTCCAGTGAGGGTTTTCACGAAGATCTGCATGATGTACTGCAAAGAAAACAATTCATTAGTAAAATTTTAGCCAACAGTATAATTCTTAAATAATCTTAAATTTAAATATCTACAAGATTGTTGAGCATGTTATAGTAGGTAGCAAGGCAACCATTATATATGAAAACACAAGACTACTACATTAATATTTTATACACATATTGTACAGTACACATAAATCTTGGCTTTAACCAAAGTAACTAATACCCCCCCACACACACATACAGTATAGAGCAATAACATTTGCAGTCTATCTTCTGTGTAACCTAGCTATGCATATACAAATATAGAATAATAAAATTAAATACCTAGCATTTATGGGCTTTAGGCAGGCAGAAATGGCAGAAAGTTTGCCCAATGAAAATTGAGAGATGTGTAGGGCCAGAAGTAGCAGTCTTACATATAGAAATTGAACCGGCAGACGATGAACTTTATAATCCTGATCCGCTTTGGGAAGATAATTTGATCGGGGTATCTTCTATGGTGCTCCCATGGTGATTTTGGATTATGCGCTCATGGAGGTTATCTCTATGCCTTTGGTGGTTTGACTGTCTTAGGAGTGTGGCTGTAGTTTAGTTTTGTTACTGTTGGAAGAAGCAACGGAACCACCACCACCACCACCACCACCACCACCACCACCACCACCACCACTACGGGTATTACCAGATATCACCACACCACTAAAAATAAAACTGACAACTAGTTAGTATTACATTAGTATCTGAAGATGGCGGCTGCACGTGTGGAGCTCTCTCATAACGAGGAGGAGAAGGAGGAGGAAGAGGAATGTAAATCTTATCCGAACTACCTACTAGACTACATACATTTCCTCTGGCAGTCACAAGAGTTATGTGATGTAGAAATATTATTAGCTGATGGATCAGTTGTGAAGGTGAGTGAGTGAAACATTTACCTGTATTTATCTCCTACACTTTCTTCTCTGCCTGCCCTCCATCACCCACCTTTTATACCCATATCGAAGTACACCGTCCACACTCTACCCGCCGCCGCCCTAACTGCCCAGGAGTCTAGGACCAAGGAATAGTGGAAGAAATCTCCTAACTTCTCTGAATGCTTCCTAGAAGTGGTTTAATTTTTGGTTTGCTTCCTAGCAGTGGTTTGATTTTGGCTTGCTTCCTAGCAGTGGTTTTATTTGGGCTTCCTATTGTTCGACCAGTCTACATCTATAGGTACCTCACCGCACTGTTATTATGGCCTCTCTCATTTTACATCCTCCACTTGCCCCATGACCTCCTCCTATAGGTCCCAGGCCGTTACCAACACTTTTTCCTTCTCACAAAATATCCCTCCTCCCAGTCCTCCTCCCAGTCATAGGCCTGGTATTTGACGACATATTAATGTCACGTCAATCTTTATCATAACCAGGAACTCCCTCCCCCCCCCACCACCTACAAATTCAATCCATCTCTCATTTTTATTTAAACTTGACAAAACCTATGTTATGACGACGACCCTTCACCTAGACTTTTACGCCCCCTTAACGTACCCACCCCAATCAATAAACTAGCCCCCCTCGGGGACAAATATAAAAAAAAAAAAAACTGATGGAGATTACATTTTATTCCACAGGCTCACCGTGTAATACTCTCGGCGGGAAGCAAATATTTTAAGACCATGTTTACTGGTGGATTAGCTGAAAAAACAACACAGTCAATAGAAATGAAGTTTATGAAACCCAATATATTAAAACTGCTCATCGAGTTCATATATACTGGTAAGGGAAAACATTTTAAGTTTTCATAGTGCTATGCTATATGTAAAACAAAAAGAAATAATTATAAATAGAAAATTTATTTTTGTTTTTTAAATACTTTAGGAAACATCAAGATAATAGTGGAAAACGCACAGGAGTTAATTGCGGCTGCAAACATGCTGATAATGTCCCGTGCTGTACTTGTTTGTACAGATTTTCTCAAGAGGGAACTTCATCCATCTAATGCTTTAGGAATTTACCGGTACGTACAGTATAATAATTAATTATTTTCAAACTATTTATATAATATGTATTTTTATCTGCACCTATACGTAACTAATTCCATATTTATTTTATTTTAAAAAACAGGTTTGCTGAGGCCCATAATTTAGTAAGGTTGCTGCATTCTTCCCGGGATTTCATCTTCTCCAATTTCGTAGAAGTGACAATGGAGCAAGAATTTCTTGAGATTCCGAAAGAAGTTCTGCTGTATTTTTTGGATTCAGAGTATCTTCATATTGACTCTGAGTTTCAGGTAAAATATAAATATTTTTTTTTATTTAATATGTACAACTTTCAATTGACTTTTACAAAAATTTGAACTCGAATTTATCTTTCTTTATTATTTATTGCAGGTATTCTCTGCTGCCATCAGATGGATTACACAAGCACAAGATATAAATAATAGATATTGTTGTTGGAATTTTGACATTTTAAAACGACTGAAATTGTCTTTAATTCCAAGTAAACTAATAGAAAAATCAATTAGTGAGTGCTCCGCTGATATCAGATTGAAGGTTAACCTTAAACAGCACACAAACTTGGCCAAAAGGGAAGCCTCGTATGTCCAGCCAAGAATTTCTACACGAAAGAAAATTTATGTCTTAGGTGGACAAAAGAGAGAAATCTGTGTCCCATTTCGAAGAACAGATCTGTTTACATATAAAAGTGTCGAATGTTTTGATATCTTTAAGCAGAAATGGCATAAAGTTTGCCCCATGAAAATTGAGAGATGTGGGCCAGGAATAGCAGTCTTACATGGGAAAATTTTCGTTGTTGGAGGGGAGATAGAAATAAAAAAACGGGGACATGATAATCAGATTTTGGCAAATGGTGATGTTTATGATCCTCAGAAAGATAATTGGACCGGGATATCTTCTATGATGCTCCCACGGTGTGATTTTGGATTATGCGCTCATGGAGGTTATCTCTATGCCTTTGGTGGTTTGACTATCTTTAATCGTTGGACGGGATCGACCGATGCGGTCATATCCCAAACGATTGAAAGATATAACCCTATTGCAGATGAGTGGAGATTATTAGAGTCAAATATGCCAGAAGCTAGATCCAAGTAAGTACAATAACCATTTTCAAATTGGATTTACTGACTGATAGTGTGAACTACTGATAATAATGAGAAAATGTAGCAGCGGCCTGTCTTTTTTTTTTTTTTTTTTTTACAGCATGGGTACAGTAGAATATCAAGGTCTTATCTACATTGTTGGTGGATATACGTACACTCGCAAGCCCATGGGTGATCTTCTCTCATACAATCCTGTGACAGGGGAGTGGAAGAATCTACCACCAATGATAGGTCAACCAAACCCCTACAGGCACAACGACATTATGAGTGTTGCAGTTTTGGATAACTTTTTGTATGTAGTAGGTGGTGTTCAGGAGGAAAAATCAATGGAAAGATATTCTTTTGAACAGGTAAGATTATTTACCAGTGCTGTACTTATGAATTCTTACTATTATATACAACAAGATTTGAATTACAATGATGTAGCTAGGATGTGAAAGAATTTTTGTAATACTGTAGTGAAAAGGGAGTAAAACATTGTATAACCTCCCTCCTCCCCCCTTCCTTTTACCTTTCTTCTTTTACTTTCCCACAGAACAAATGGTTTAAGTGTTCATCAATGTATTTTGGTCGAAATATCCCAGCAGTTGTTGCCACAAATGTTGCCACAAATTCTCTGTTATATGTCATAGGTGGTGACAGTTCTGAGAACTGGGTAAGGAAGAATGGAAATAAAAAAATGAAATATATTAATATTCCTACATATCTTAATAATCAGTTTTAATCTAAAGCCTAAAGTATTTATTTTCTTTTTTTTTAGATGTCTGTCGCTAATGTGGAGTATTTTGATCCTAAGGATAACAGGTGGAGAAACTGTACACCACTCCCTGAGGAACGGTGTGGTGCTAGAGCAGTCTCAATTTGAGATTATATACAATAAGGTTTGAATTTCAATATTTTAGGATGTGGAACAATTTGTAATACTTAGTGAAAACGGATAAAAAATTGTATAACCTCCCTCCCTTCCTTTTACCTTTTTCTTTTATTTCCCCACAGAACAAATGGTTTAAGTGTTCATCAATGTATTTCGGTCATAGCCCAGCAGTTGTTGCTGCCACAAATTCTCTGTTATATGTTATAGGAGGTTACAGTATAAATTATGATGAACGATTTGTAAGGAAGAATGAAATATATTAATAATTCCTACATATTTTTATAATAATCCTTTATAATCAGTTTTAACCTAAAACCTGAACTATTTTTTTTTATTTTTTTTATTTTTTTTTTTTTTGATGTCTGTCGCTAATGTGAGTATTTTGATTCTAAGGATAACAAGTGGAGAAACTGCTGTACACTACTCCCTGAGGAACGGTCTGATGCTAGAGCAGTCTCAATTTGACTCCAATCAAGATACCTTCCTTCAAAACTGACATTGTCCACTCCATTTAATCCATCCATTTAAAATAAAAAAAGCTCGCTTCCTGTGTCTTTTTTAACTTACCTAACTTGAAATTTGAAAGTATCCTTGTGGGTCAATGGTACCATTTTTTAATTTTGTATTTTGCTGAGAGATGACCAGGATGCCTAACCAACTAGAAAAAACAAAACAAAAGGAAGAATACCATTGTTTAGAGTTGAACAAACAGAGCTGAATGTTATTACTTTTTTGTAGGATGCTCAGAAATGATGGGGTGTAGTGTAACCCAATTGTACAAATATTATTTTTATTTTTTAATTTTACATAAATGTAATCCACCCACCATCTTTTTCTTCTTCTTTGGGTTCTAGCGATATACTTTGGACGGTTGGTTCCTCCTCTTCTCACACTATTCTCCTTCCTCCTCTTCTTTTTTCACTTACATCAGGAAAATCTACGAAAACTAATTTATCCTTTCCTTCGAGGTATAGATCATTGAACTTGCATTCGTCCCATTCCTCCTCTTCTTTCAATATTACATCAGGAAAATTATCCTCCTCCAATAATACTCCATCATCAGGTAGCAGCTTACAATTATCGTCTTCGTCGTTGGTATTCTTCTTCTCGTCGTCCTCATCCTCAAATGGTGGTGGTGGTGGTGGTGATGGTGGTGGTAGGGCTATGTGTTTTTTTCTGTGTTTAATCAGGCTATTCGGCCAATAATATTTTTTAGTACAGAATTCACATTCCAAAGTTTTCTTTGAGCTGTGACGCAACTGGTGATAGCGAAGACTGTTTGGACTACTTAAAACCTTGCCACATATTTTACAGCGAAACTTTG